CCCAATCTATTCTATGATTCTATGATTCTATGATTTTTTTTTTTTTTTGCCAGCAGTTCTTGTGCATATCAAAGGAGAGGGAAAGCTATACCACACCACCCAGCCAGCAGGACATAGTGAGTTCCCATTGGGAAGGACCTTTTCCTTTCTTTCCCTCCTCTCTCTCCCCTTTCCCCATACGGGAGGGGAGGGAAGACCTCCATTTTTGGTTTCTCCAACACACCCAGGGGCCCCCCACATGATGACCACCAGTGATCCAACAGCGCCTCTTACTGACTGTGGTTAGAATTGCACCAAAGGACGCAAACTGTTTACCTTTTTTTTTGTTTGTTTGTTTTGAAGGGGATTATTTCTGGGTATAGGATTATTGTTTGGTTGTTCTACTTGTGTTCTTTCATTGTTTCTTCCAATACACGTATATCTTTTAATAAAGGGCTATTATTCTTCCTTTTTCCACATTTTTTTCTCAATTGGAACCTCTTAATTTTGGATTTACAATTGCTTAGAGGGAGGAGTTTGGGTCTTTGTCATAACTGATCCTCAGCAAAACACTTGTGTCTCATTTAAACTGAGACACCAAATCTGGAATACTGCATCCAGTCTGAAGCTCTCCTACAAAAGACACATTTACAGCTTGAATTCGGTGGGGATCACCAGGGGCTGGAGCACTTGCCCTGTAAGGACAGGCTGAGAGAGCTGGACTTGTTCGGGCCAGAGGAGAGATGGTTTAGGGTGTATTTAACAGCAGTCCCCAGTACTTACAATTAGGTTAGTGAGAGAACAAAGGCTCTTCACAGTGCTATATAGCAGAGGGTATGATACATTCAGCTAAAACTATGGATGGAAAAAATTCTCTATCACAAGGGCTGTCAAATATTGGAGCAGGTTGCCCCAAGAGTCTGCATCAAGAGTCAAGGGTTTCAGGACTCGGAATAAAAGACCTTAATGATCTGATCACTGTTGACCTTGCTTTGAGCAGGAGGTTGGCCTAGGTGATCTACTCAAGTCCCTTCCATCCTGAACAAGTCTGGTAAAGCCAGCAAATGGGCACACATCCCTTTCACTTCTTACTTCTCCAACCCCCAGACAAACTTGTTGACTGTTCAGCCATAAGAAAGTGAGTCAATCTCTAATGACTGTTGAGTATCAAGAGAACAGTGGCTTTACCACACTTGGGAACGACCAAAGGAAAATTATTTCATTTCCTATAAAGCACATGGAATTTGCTATGCAGACATGATCAATTTGTCTGGTGTCATTTTGGACTTTGGTGCAACTGGCCACTACACAAATCTGTGCTGTTTAGCAACTTCAGTTTTGATACTTAACCCAAGGGTCTCGTACTCTGTGAGATGACAAGTGCTTGTCATTTCCTCTTGTCCTTGTGGGATATTGTTTGTCTTCTACTGCAGCCACTTATATAGCCCTCCCACTGAGAAAACCTGGTCCAGAGTACATTGGCCCCCGGTGTGTGTTTTGTATACAGCATTTCCTGCATGGGCTCAGGGGTGCAATGTGAGAACACGATGACACAAGCTCTGCAGTGCTACATTATGGACATGGGTGGTGAACCCTGTTTAGTCTGAGTAGGTGTCTCAGTTTAAATGAGACACAGGTGTTTTGCTGAGGATGAGTTATGAGGAAGACCCAAACTCCTCCCTCTAAGCAATTGTAAATCCAAAGTTAAGAGGCTCTGATTGAGGGGAAAAAATTGTGGAAAAAAGGAAAAATAACAGCCCTTTATTAAAAGATATATGTGTATTGGCAGAAACAACAAAAGAAAACAAGTAAACCAATCAAACAATACTCCTATACCCACAAATAATCCCTTCAAAACAAACCAATAAACAAGCAAAGAAAAAAAAAGTAAACAGTTCAGTTTGTGCCCTTTGGTGCAATTCTAACCACAGTCAACAGGGGGTGCTGTTGGATCACTGGAAATGCAGAGACTGCAGTGGTTTGTGCTGGTCAGCAGGGGGCACTGTGGGATCACTGGTCATTGCCACGTGGGGTGACACCCTCTGGGGTGTGTTGGAGAAACCAGAAAAATGGGTTTCCCTCCCCCCCCACACTGGGAAAGGGGAGAGAGAGAAGGGAGAGAAACAACAAAAAAAAGATCCTCCCCAATGGGAAAAAACTCACTCTGTTCTGCTGATCGAATCATGTGGTATAGTTTTTTCTCTCCCTTTGATGTGCACAAGAACCACTGCTAGGAAAGAAACAAACGGGAATGGGGAAGGCGAAAAAAAAACCTCCCAAAACAATTCCTCCCTGATGAAAATCCAAGCAGAATCCACAGCTGACAGTCAAACTGAGAACAAAAACAGCTCCAAGCTCCTACTTCGACCTTGCTCCAGCTTCAGCAGCCAGCCAGAATTCTTCACCCCCATTTCCCAGGAGACTCTGAGATTCTGAGGCCATTAACTAGAAGGCACCTTCTTTTGTGTTACTTAACTGCTCACTTAACATCCCTCCATGCAGTGGGTGGGGGGGGGGGAAGGGAAAAATTCCTGCTTAGTTCATAAGAACCAGCAAAACCATGACAGCAGGCTAAGTCTGGAAAATGGGGTCAGTCAAGCTCCCTGAGAGTACACACAGGTACAACATCTTCCTGGCTTTAGTTTCTTCCTCTGGTGTTCTAGATGAGATAGAGCAACAATGCATTCCAAGGCTGTGGACACTCAGAATTTTACATTCAGGGTGAAACAGGACTATATGAGTGCAACACACACATTTGCAGGAACTTCTTGTGAAGTGCTGTTTAAAAAAGTTTCTTTTGTGGATGTATGCATGTGGAAGTGGTTTGATTTTAAGGGCAAGCACACAAATTGAGGGGAATGTATACAGGGAACAGCTGAGTTCACTTGGCTTGTTCAGCCTGTAGAAGAGGAGACTGAGAGGACACCTCACTGCAGTTTTCAACATCCTCACAAGTGGAAGTGGAGGGGCAGGTACCAATCTTTTCACTCTGGTGACCAGTGATAGGACCTGAGGGAATGGCATGAAGCTGTGTTGGGGGGGAGTTAGGTTGGATATTAGGAAAAGGTTCTTCACACAGAGGGTGGTCAGGCACTGGAACAGGCTCCCCAGTGAAGTGGTCAGAGCACCAAGCCTGTGTTGAAGAAGCATTTGGACAAATACTCTCAGGCACATGGTGTGATTCATGGGGCTGTCCTTTGCAAGGCCAGGAGTTTGACTTAGACGATCCCTGTGGATCCCGTCCAAATCAGGATATTCTGATTCTATGATTCTAAGTTGCTGCCTGTTAGTCTAAAATACTTGTAAAAATTAACTAGCATTTTTTTGATCATAAATAGGAGCAGCATGTGACCATTATTATTTTCTTTACATAGCAGCAATGAAAAGAAAATTTGAGGAATTAGTAGAAAAAAGATATAGCCTATTTAAGCAAGATCTACTGAAAGAAGGTTTCAGTGAAGCAGATGAACCTCAGGATTAAAGGGTGGGCTCAGTTCCGCGCACACTGTGTCTCACCTAAAAAAAATCCAGTGCGCAGGCTGGAAGATGTAAAGACCTTCCCCGGTTCTTCGTTCGCGAAGAGACTGGCCATTATTCACCCTTAGAAAATATTATAAGTACTTATGGGCTGAGGAGTGTCTTAAAGAGCTCTAATGTGATGTAATTCTTTTCTTTCAGGGAATATGGAACTATTGATGATGTGGATATTGATCTGAGTATTGATGTTAGCTTTCTTGATGTAAGTAATTTAATCACAGGGTTAAATAATGAACATCAATACCCGTTTAATTCTGCTATACATCAGACTCTCTAGAAAACCATCGAGACTTTGCTTTTTCAGAGACTTGATCTTCATAAGTGACTGTCACATTATTGATTGCTACTCAGTGGAAAGGTTTCTTTCTTTTTCTTTTTATGATCACATTGTTAAAATGTGTTGTAGGCTTTTATTTACTGCATATGTATTTCCTTCCAAATATGCTTTGTGAATGGTAAATGTTTTAACTGATATAAATGAAATACTTTTTTTTTTTTTGCTATCCTAGACATTAGTTAGGTGAAAACACTTCACAGAGTCCTAGAGGGAGGAAGACCTTGGCTGGAGCTTTCCTGTGTGCTTCTCAGCATCTGCAGCTGATTAGGGAGAGGCTTCAGTGACGAGACAGCACAGTGGTGCTGTCAACTAGCAGCATGGCTCCTATAACAGTTATGCTGTCAGTAACTCCATATTTCCTCACCTCATCTGTGCAGTAACTTCCTGTCCTCTAGATGTAGAATGAAAATTACTGCTTTTAGGGGCATCATTAGCTTTTGCACAGGTATGTCATTTTCTCAGGTCATCACAGCACATAGGTTCTCAAGCTCTTCTAAAATTTAAGAAAATCTGATCATACCTTGAATTATTGTAATCAGTCTTAAGAAGGAGCAAACATTTCCTTTGTCCTGTGTCATGGCATGAGTTTCCTTTCCATCTTTATTTGCTTCTTTGCTTCTCAGCTTTGAAGCAATATCTCTTGATTGATGGTAACGTCTGCCTGCATTGCAGATGTAGTGTTGTGTAGAAACCTGTGTTCAGTTTAAGTGAGCATACTCAAGAACTGGAAGCAGCCTAACAATGCTTTTAGAGGCATTAGCAGGCAATAGTTTGTCCTGTGTATCAAGTTTAAAGTTGGAATAGATATTCCATGACTGGCTAAATAGATGGATGGTGTTTATAACAACCTTAAGGTAGACTGACAAAATGCAACAGTTCCTCATGATAACTAATGGTGTCTGTTGTTTTCTTTTTATCTTGAACTAGGAAGAGATTGCTGTGTCTTGGGATGTAATTCGCACAGAACCTATAATAGTGCGATTGCACTGTTCACTTACACAGTACTTAAATGGTCCAGGTTAGTCACCAATGTGTTCTTCATGTGACTGTATGGTGTCTTGATCTAAGCCATGTACTAGGTGACAGATGCTCTGCCAAATCTTTGATCCTTCATGCACTTAAATCTACCACTGAGAGCAGTCCTACTAATTTGATATTATGTATATTTGCATGGCTAGACCTTCAGTAATGATGTGGACATTAGTTTAAACTTTCATAGGTTGAGTTTTGGAACTTCTTTTCTTGATATCCTTTGAAATGCAGCTGCTTCCCCTAGGAACTAGGGGTTAAGGAATAAAGATCAACATTTTCTTATATATGATTTCCTGATTTTGGAAATCAGGGATCATCTTCACAGATGCAGATATCACCAATAAGCTATACATACACAGATCTGTGCAGGACATATGCCCTTTTTCATGCACCTTTGAAGAATCAGGTCATGATAATTATCCTGCCAGCTTCTGATTTCTGTGTGACTGTGGGTACTCTGGGGATCTTTAAATTTGGATGAGAATTTTAAATGTTGACAACCTACTCTGGTTGTTATGTGAGTAAGGCTGTCTCATGAGAGCAAAAATGGTCAGACTCATGAAGAATCAACTGAGATTAAAGACTTGGAAACATCTGTATGCAAGAGTCAATTCCAGATATATTTTTACAATGGGAAGACAGAACTGTGTCATTTGAAACATAACTTGCTTGATTTTGGAGGCTTCCAGTGCAAGCTGTCAGTGTAGGCTTGTATCTGTGGGAGAATTCTGCCTCTGGAAAATCAATCGATATTTCCAATCATAATATATTTAGCAAAATCTGTCCCAATGAGGTATTTTTATAGGATATGTTGTCTGTCAATTCTAACTATAAGCCACATTCTGTTCATTCAAATAAGCATTTCATTACATCAGGTTTTTTTTTGTTTGTTTTTTTTTTTTTTTTTTTTTTTTTTTTTTGCTTGACTTTGGTCTTTTTGTATTTTATTGCTGTAATCTTTTGTGTAAATATGCAGATCTTAGAAAATGTATTTGACATAGCAGGTAGCAGTGTTAGTATTCAGAATATTTCTATCAAAATGTAATTTAAAAAATAAAAAAGTGCAGCAAATAAGAGAGGGTGAAGCACAAAGAGCAGTATGCAGTATGAAATGATTTAGTGACATTAGAAGTAACAAGGTATCTTCTACACCATTAACAAGTTTAAAACAGGAAACTTAGTTCCCAGTCCTGAAGCTGACTGATTGTGGGAGTGCCTGAATACCAAGAAAGGCAAGATCAGGACCAGAGGCAAGTGCTTCACTGCTACTGGTTTTATGAGCTCAGCTGCTGTTGTAGCCTTGTTTATTTATTTACCAAAGGACAATGAGATCCAACATCTTTTGTGCTAACAAAAATCGTTGTGTATTCCTCTTCTCCCTTAATTATGTTGTTTTGAGACTATTGGGCCATAATTTTATGCAACATTTTTCTCTGAGTACTTTCTTTTCAGTGATAGAAGAAACAGAAATGCAGTATACTCGAAAACACAAGAGGTATACCTACTACATTGTAGCTGTTTAATATCCTGATTTTAGATAGTTATTCTTCTAATTAATATCTTATCATTGTACCTGTGGGCAGTTTCTCCCATGTGCCTTAGAAACTTGTCTTACATTAGGATGAATCAGCCTTTGGAGGTACTGTCCTGTGTCCTCTGGCTGTAGAGCTTAGACAACAATTGTAATCTAGATATCAAATTTTAAGATTGCTGATCTAGGTATGATGATTCATATTGAAAATATTCTCCCCCTGCCACATCCTAAATTTGACAATCTAAAGACATTGCTACCCCTAATCAAAATATTTGTCCCTTTTAAAAAATTCATCAGTTTGTCATTAAAAGATGAGATTATATTTGAAAAATAACATTAAAGGAAAGGTATCCACGGTGCTTTAAAATAAGCGAAATTGGAGAGTCAGATTATATATATATCTTGCATTTTATTTTAAAAATAAATTTATTAATGGGAAAGTAAAGGATAAACTTTGATATTCTGAATGAAATCTGGTTTTCTCACTGATTAGAATAATATAGATTTCAAAATACTGATTTTCCTTTTTTAATTAAATTTGAATCAGCCCCAGATTCTTGTTTTCATTCCTTTTTATTTTACTATAGTGAAGCAGGAAGGGTTAATCGGGACACTTTTGCTGTGGGCCCATGGGGGCCCCCTACCCCCCCTGTACACTTTTAATTTGCCTTAAGCTATATTTCGTAAGCTGCATTTTGCACAAGGAGACTCTGTCCTGTTCTGAGGGCATCAGACCTTAAAAGAACCACAACAAACACTGGGCAAAGAACCCCAGTCCCATAAATCTCATCCAGAGGAGCCAAGGTGACATCTCAATAGGTGATATAGGCCTAAAGCCAAAGGTTTCTCTAAGGCTGAGCGATCAGAACACATGAACAATAGAAAGAACGAAAGGTCCCCGAGGTGAGGTGAGGATGAGGATTAAAAAACAAGCCCCCAGGATGAAGGCAAACAGGAACTCCCACCAAAATATTCCTCAAAATGGAAACCACACCTCAATCTCCGCCCCTAACTCCACCTGTTATAAATATTGTAATCAAATGATGCAATAACATGAATATGTAAAATTATGTTGCAATCATGATCAAAACATTGTATAAATTATCCGTTCTTACTGAATCACTTTGGAGTTTTTACCTGGCCTGAACAAGTAAATCTCCCTGGCGTCGTCGATAATCAATAAATACCTTGCTGCTTATGGACTTAAAACTCTGTCTCAGAGCAGTTTTACTCACCTGCCCCTTTTTCTGGGCATCAATAGTCATTACTTCCTTATTTAATACAAAGTCTATTCATGCTTGTAATATGTGTTGGCTGTTGCCCTGCCTCGAGGACCTGAGAGTCTCTCAACAAGTGCTGAAATCCATATGCCCCTTCTATCTAGTAAATGCTATTAAAGGATTTTAGTAATACCAGGACCTGACTTCCAACCTTCACCCCTTACACTTTCAATTTTCTGACAGATAAATATGGATATACCAACAATAGGACAAGTCTTGAGGAAAATTCAAGGTAATCCTTGGCCACTGGAATTCATACATCAGGCACTTAGATGATGATTACAAATCATGTATTCATTTGTTCATAGACTGAGATGACATGTCTTCTTTCACTATTTGTTCAATGGCATTGCCTATGGTAAAGGTCCTGATAGAACAGAGTATTTTAATATGACTTGTATGATCATGAGTTATTGATTATTGTTTTAAGTTTGTATATCAATGATATATCCTTTTTCTGTAGTGCCAACTGTGGATGTATTTCAGATCTCTACTAAGGAAAGATTTGGGCTGGGACATCAGCTAAAAAAGTAAGTCTGGAAAAGTGTTTTAAGTAAATATTGCACTTTTTAGTTCCAAGACCATGTCAAGTGGGATAAAATTCACAGGTTGTCAGGTTAGTGGGATCTAATTGTTTTGAATTTGTTTTTCTTTAAATGAAAAATGAAATGGTTTGACTTTTTTAAGTTTAGTTTGGACAGCTAGAATCATTAAGGTTGGAAAAGACCTCCAAGATCATTGAGTCCAACCATTAACCCAGTATGGCAAATATGGGCGCTGAAGAAATGAGGCTGCACACACACCATGATTTGGTTTTTAGGATTCTCCACAGAGCTTTCTCTGCATTCCCCTTTTATTAGGGTTCTTTTGGTAAACAACACCTGGTGTTGTCATTCAGTTAACTAGAATTCCCATGACTTTTTGAAAACTCAGTGTTTTGATTCACACATTCCTTCTCAGCTCCAAGGCTGAAACGTTCCCTTTTGATTCTAATTAACTGAATGCAGGTGCATCTGACTCAGCTTGTTCCCACAACCCAGCACCACTGTGTTCACCACTAAACCATTTTCCCAAGTGCCATGTCCCCATGCCTTTTGAACACCTCCAGGGATAGTGAATCCACCACTTCCCTGGGCATCCTGTTCCAATGCTTTACAACCCTTTCAGTGAAAAAATTTTCCTAATATCTAACCTGAACCTTCCCTGGTGCAACTTGAGGCCATTTCCTCTCATCCTGCTACTTGTTATCTGGGAGAAGAGACCAACCTCACTACAATCCCTTTTCAGGGAGTTGTACAGAGTGATAAGATCCCCCCTGAGCCTCCTTTTCTCCAGACTAAACAACCCCAGCTCCCTTAGCTGCTCCTCATATGACTTACTCTCTAGACCTTTTCCCAGCTCTATTGCCCTTCTCCAGACCTCCTCTAGCACCTCAAAGTCCTTCCTGAATTCAGGGGCCCAAAACTGAACACAGTACTTGAGATGCAGCATCACCAGTACCAAGTACAGAATCATAGAATCATAGAATCAGATGGGTTGGAAAGGACCTCTGACATCATCAAGTCCAACCCTTGATCCGCTGTGGTTACTAGACTATGGCACTAAGTGCCACATCCAGTCTCTTCTTAAATACCTCCAGGGACGGAGAATCCACCACCTCCCTGGGCAGCCCATTCCAATGCCTGATTAGCCTCTCTGTAAAGAATTTCTTCTTAATATCCAACCTAAACCTCCCCTGGCAGAGCTTAAGACCGTGCTCTCTTGAATTACTGGTAGTTGCCTGGGAAAAGAGATCAACCCCCATCTGACTACAACCCCAACTCCCTCAGCCTCTCCTCATAGGACTTGTGCTCAAGCCCCTTCACCAGTCTGGTTGCTCTTCTCTGGACCTACTCCAGCACCTCAATATCCTTCCTGAAATGAGGGGTCCAGAACTGGACAGAGCACTTGAGGTGTGGCCTCACCAGTGCTGAGCTCAGGGGAAGAATCACTTCCCTGGTCCTGCTGGCCACACTATGCCTGATACAGGCTTGGAAGCCATTGGCCTTCTTGGCCACCTGGGCACACTGCTGACTCATGTTCAGCTGCCGGTCAATCCAATCTCCTAGATCCCTTTCTGCCTGGCTGCTCTCCATCCACTCTGTCCCCAGTCTGTAGTGCTGCAGGGGGTTGTTGAGGCCAAAGTGCAGGACCTGGCACTTGGCCTTGTTGAACTTCATCCCGTTGGAATCAGCCCAACTCTCCAGTCTGTCCAGGTTCCTCCGCAGAGCCCTCCTGCCTTCCAGCAGGTCGACACTCCCCCCCAACTTGGTGTCATCTGCAAATTTGCTAATGGGGGACTCAATCCCCTCATCTAAATCATCAATAAAGAAATTAAAGAGAACTGGGCCCAACACTGATCCCTAGGGACACCACTAACGACCGACCACCAACTGGATGCAGCACCGTTCACCACCACTCTCTGGGCCCGGCCCTCCAGCCAGTTCCTAACCCAGTACAGGGCCCCTGTCCAAGCCGTGGGCTGCAGATTTTTCAGGAGAATGCTATGGGAAATGGTGTCAAAAGCTTTGCTGAAGTCTAGGTAGACACATCCACAACCTTCCCTTCATCCACCAGGCGGGTCACCTGATCATAAAAGGAAATCAGGTTGGTCAGACAGGACCTGCCCTTCCTAAACCTGTGCTGGCTGGCTCTGATCCCTTGTACATCCTGTAGGTGCTGTGTGATTGCACTCAGGATGATCTGCTCCATAACCTTGCCAGGCACTGAGGACAGGCTGACGGGTCTGTAGTTTCCTGGGTCCTCCTTCAAGCCCTTTTTGTTATCCTTAACAGAAGTGGCAAGATGGAGTTTAAGTTCTGCCTTCATCTCTCTGATTTTCTTTTGGCAAGACCTAACTATATTTCTAAACTCTTCCTGAGTAGCCAGCCCTTTTTTCCATAACTGGTAGGCTCTCTTTTTTACCCTAATTTCCTTTAAAATCTCCCTGTTCAGCCAGACTGGTCGTCTTCCCCGTCGGCTTGCCTTTCAGCAGACTGGGACAGCCTGTTCCTGTGCGATCAGGACTTCCTTCTTGAAGCATGTCCATTCCTCC